ACAATAGCTGTCGGGGGTGGGCGTTTTTGCTCGTCCAGCTGACCACTTCCCAGTCCTGTGTGAGCTACCGGGTCACGGCTCGTAATTTACGGAGAGCCAGCATGGAGCCGACATCGGGACGCAAGATAGATGGCCATCTCGGGTTACTGCCTCTATAGTATACGGGGTATTCAGTGAACCATGGCGCGATGGCCCCCGATGAGATGTTCTCAAGGTCGTTGACCGATGAATGATGTCGTTATCTTACTCGAGAGGAAGAGAGGGACGCGAGACTGCATCCCGCAGGTCACAGTGCGACCCCAGGCGAGACGAAACGTGTTGAAGTTACTGTTCTGAGCATGAGTTATTGTTTTATCATCCATCTTAATGATTTCACTCGAGGCATCCTTGTCGCCTCTTACAGCACTTGAGGCAGGCTCTGAATTACTCGTAATTAGCAAGTGTTTCAGCTCATCTGCTCATCATTGAAAGTTAGAACCCATTCGAATGCAAAGTTGAAGAGATGGAAACCTGTACCACCAACCGTTTTCATTAGGTGCGATATTAGAACATCGCTCAACGTTATTGTAGCCGTGGTTTTATTTGCTAAACGGTGCTGTAAGTGTACAAGGCTAAATGTTTTAAAGTAATCAGTCCAAAGGACTAAGATGATATAAGGATAAGTAATACTAAAAGGACAGTACACACAGAAAAATATTAACACCGTTAGCGGTGTAATTGCACAGTACATATCTGAGCACTTGAGGAAAGTTAATTTAGTCCCTTCCCCGCTTAAATTACTCGCGCTTCCAAATGAACACCAGGAAGAAGGTAATAGAACACTGTTAGGAGGGTTGGGTGTTTTGCTACATGTAGTAAAACACCCAACCCTCCTAACAGTGTTCTATTACCTTCTTCCTGGTGTTCATTTGGAAGCGCGAGTAATTTAAGCGGGGAAGGGACTAAATTAACTTTCCTCAAGTGCTCAGATATGTACTGTGCAATTACACCGCTAACGGTGTCAATATTTTTCTGTGTGTATAGAAGACCCAGAGAACACCATCAGGAAACACACACGGTCACACACACGCACGAATCGACTATGAGACATGAAATGACTCTGTTACGTCCGGACCGGAACACATTACTGCAGTATTACCGTTATATCCTGGAAGACTGAGGCTGACAAAGGTTCTAAAAGATCGATACATTCGTTCACCATGTCGGATGCGGGGGTGTGAAGTTACATCTCAGAGTGGTACCCAAGTAATTCCGATATTTTTGGGATTATGTTCCTAACGTCAGCGACAAGTTTGGCATTTCCGAGATCTCAAGCTTCGGTGCTTTTGGAAATAGGAATAATGGTTACCCATAGCTTCATTGACGTAAGCCAGAACACATGAATAGCCACGCGAATTTCGGCACCAGTGATAAACGATAGTTCTCTTCGATTTTCTCGCATCATTTGCACACCGGCATTTCCTGAGGTGTAAATCAGCCTCCATGGTTGGCTGCGCTGCTCGCTTTATGATGCCAGTAGCACGCAAGTAACACAGAGCTGCGCTTTAATTGCTGCTTCACCTTTCACTCGGCGCCGCGAATGACGTGCATGTGATACCAAGCGTGTAGATTCCGTTGCCGGCGGGGTACCTGTTACCAAATCGGCACTGGGGGAAATGACGTCATTGGCCCAGTGATGCATCGCCCGGCTGATTATAGCGGCAATGGTGCTGAATGTTCGACATCAAATCTGCCGCTGAAATTTAGCTCAGAGAACTCCGAGTAATCATCGATCAAATGGATCGTCGGAAGGATTTATAAATTGCAGTGCTACTAAAATTGTAAGGACTATGCGAGTAAGTACCTACAAAGGCAGTTACAGGAAGCGTGCACTAGAGCTGCATTTTTTCGACAAAGAAGCAGCACCAGCATCGAATAAAAATGTTTCAAAGTTAATGCTGAAGGATACTGCATTTCGACTTGATTCTTATGGACATGTAGGTACATTGTAATGTACTAAGTCAAACGTCTACGCGCACTCTTACGAATCTATTTGTCGATATATGCATACAGCTTGCATTTGAAAAGGTGCATATATGATATAACTATCATACGCTGATTAGCTGTTCATGACGTGTTAGTAAGCGACAAGCCAGGAGCATGAAAGTGAAAGTTTGTGCACAGCTAATGCATATGATCATGCTACGCCGCACGTAGGTATTTACACAGTGCGCATGACTAATGTACGTTTAGCACATACCTGTTCGATGGATGAGCTGTCCGCACGCATCAGGTCAGGACCGTTAAACACCATTCAATCCACACCATTTAAACACTTAGTATTAGGAAATGACCGCTACCCGTTATATGCATGCGCCCAAACGAGATGATCAGCATTTTCTCTCTTATCTGTCTAACCATCCGCTTGATATCAAGATCTTCTGTGGCCAGTTCTCTGCAGAAATCTCAGCTGATAAGCCGAAAGCCAGTACGATAACGATCAAAACTTTGTCGTACTTACCTAACACTGCCGGCCAAACGGCGTCTGCGAGCAATCTACATACCTGATTGGCGAGCTCCACAGAAGCGCCACAGGTCTCGCTAAGTGCCGGTCCGAAGACCGTTGACCTTTGACATCACACTCGTGTTACCGGTGGTACTGGTGGCTGTGTGTGACGTCATTTGGAGAAATATATCAGTAGAAACCAGCTGGGCCGGCTTCGAGTAGGACTGACCGGACGGAGGGCTAAGTTAAGTTAGGAAAATGTGTCTAGTTGTTGAGTTGGGTTTTGTCTAGTTGACGAGCTGTGCGTCAAGTTCAGTTGAGTCAGGAGTCTAATCATTGAGAGGGATAACGGCTTAAGTGCAATCTCACGAATGTTAGCACCCGACCCAAGCCAGAACCAACATTCAACAACTTCAACCTTCTCCGTCATCATATCCCTCACCCCACCCCTTTAGGCTGCTTGTTGAGTGTGCTTGTAGTTAGTTCTCTCGGGGTCAGGTTGAATACTGCGGCCATGTGATTTGCTCTTTTTGACATTCCTCTTGGCCTAGGGTACCTTTGGTTGAGGTTGGGTTATGTGCATAACCCGGATAACACAGCGGGAGGCTCGATGATGATGCTGTTTTTTTTTTCTCTCCAGTCAGCTTTGTAAACTGTGTTGGCTTTATAATGTACAGCATGTCCCATGCCGTGGTGATGAATGATGTAGGTTTTGAGTCCGTGTTTCCAGCATTATGTGCGCATCCATGCTCGCCAGAGTCCACTCGCATTATGTAACGAAACTGCTGCCATTAACCTCGATGAGTTCCAAATGCGACTGCGCCCGTTATCACTGAAAACGTTTCGTATGAACTTTATGCACATTGCATTTATTTTAGTCACTTCGGGAACGTTTTTAACTTGCCACCTTGTGCAATATTGAACAAAGTGATTGCAATCATCTCGGTTGCACCGAACAGTGTCAATGTCACCTGTGAGCTCCAAGCATTGAAGCTCGTCGTACCATTTTAAATTTTAAACTTTAAATGCTTGGTCTGCCAAATTTATGCACGAGAATTGAAGCCCATGCTTCATGACCACATACATAAATAAAGATAAAACAAAAATGGTTCTGAATTCCTCATAATGAAACTTACTCAAGTGACCTAGCACCAAAAGTTAATGCATGCATGCCATGAAGTGAGGACATCGTATCGTCCATCTACCATCGAACCGACACATCGCTTTCAGCTATGGGGATCGAAAACATTGCTTCATACGGCTGATACATTTTAAAAGAACGAACCTCGTTCACCATTTATGCATTTTAGCCACCGGTTGATACTCATTTCGCGCGAAGTGCATTCCGGAGCAAAGAATGTGTTTCTTCGCAATGCTTCTCAGGAACAAAGGCTTTCTAACTAACGCATGTCTTCGACACTTCATGCAAAATATTATTAATAATTTTGATAAATTATCCATTCACAACTGGGGACAAATGTTTTGCTTGAAAACATAGCCATATGGTAAGCCACTTGAATGTGTTCCCCACAAAGAAAACTGTATATAGAGATGTGTCAGATTTGCCTGACTCGAGACAACGCCAGCAAGATGCACGAGATAGCGCACTGGCCTACACAGGCGGCTCGAGGAGTGGCGCTAGGAGTGGCGCGGCTGTGACCTATCTGGCGCAGCTGCACGGTCAGCTGACGGTCAGGGTCGTGTTGAATGCGTGACGATCTTACAGGGTCACAGTCCGCACTGTGCATTGTGCCCGACGGCCTGGTTTAGATGTACTGAAACGGCATGCTTGAGTTTGTCACGCCGATAGAGTTGTGCGGAGCTCAATAAGTAAATAATCCAGATTCACAACTGATCTTTTATAAAAAGAAGTCAACAGATGCACCTACTGGGCCAGCGCGCATCACCAGCTCGCCTGCTGTCCCGATAACACGGGTTCCGCTTTTCGTCCGCTGCTGTCATCATCCCCCAACGCTGTCCACGACGGTCACCATCATCCCGTCAATCCGCGCGTTGAAGCGCAGCGATCAATCACACCGTTCCATGCTTCCATCCTCAGGAATCTGAAATCCTTCTCCTCCACGCCGCAACCCCCTTCCGGGCTGGACAGGCAACTTTATCTCATGCGGGCTGCTCCCTTGGAGCGGCACCGCTGCTCCCGAGGGAGCGCACCCCGTAGCCGGGTGCAGTGAGTGCCTTGGGGCTGGGTGGCCTGTCCTCTGGACGGGCTCAGCCCCGGCGACTCACTAGGGTGCCTGCCCAGACCAATGTCTACCCCTATATCCTATCATCCTCCCGGCTCTGAAATGGACCGAAAGGGCCTAACCCAACAAAACAAACAAACAAACAAAAGCAGCGATCAATGACCTAATGGGAGACGCTGCCGGCCTCAGTCAACAAACAGCTGACCGCGTGACGTCACAGGTCGGCGGCGTGACGTCACGGGTCATCTGGGCAGGTGAGCGGCGCGTCCGGTACGCACGCGCCGCCGCCGCCACCGCCGCCGCCGGCGCGCAGTCAGTCGGTCGGTGCTGTTCGGAGGGGTACGGTGTGTCGACGGGCGCTCGAGTTGCACGCGCGTGAGACGGACTGGAGCGAGGAGAGACGCACTGAGCCGCCATGACGGCCACCAGCGATCTGGGTGGCGAGTACGTGGGCCAGCTGAGAGCCGAGATCGACTCGCTGGCGGGCACCGGACAGTTCCCGCACGCGCAGCGACTGCTTTATCAAGGTGAGCTGAAAACAGGGGGATGGACAGAGGGAAGTTCGGGGCTGGGGTGATTTGGATTTATACTACCTTCGACGCTGTCTTTGGAGAATAATTGCGGCGAACGATTGACATTGAGTGCAAGTCTAAAACGTGGAGTGGCCAAAACAAATAAAAGTGCAGCCAAGTTTCAAGAATATTTCACAGTCTTGTCACCACTGCGCATGCCTTGCATCAAAAGTTACCTGCCAGGCTAGTTATGATGAGGAAATAACTGCAGTGCAAGCTAAGCAAATGCTTATTTATTTTTTAACTCCAGGCACTTGTGACCTCTTGTGCGTCGCAGCGACCCAGCGCCCCGTCGCGTTGCCGAACAATACCAGGAACGTATTAGCATTGATTCCATCTCAGTGCTCCAGAGACCGGGTCGATCCATATAGACGGACGTGTGCCGATCTCAGGGGGCAGCCAGCTGCTCGGCAGCAAGCCCCCGGAAAATGGCTCAGATGGGGCCGCGATTGTGGATTGGAGATAATTGTGATCACCATGAAATTGTATGATGATGGTCATCATGATTGCACAATATCTCAATGAATGCTGCATCGTCACTAAGCGCCCAAAGCCACTAGAAAGGGATCCGCATAGTGCGCTGGCATTCGATGATGAGTTTCGTTTGCTTGATCGGCATCATCTGTGGTCTACTTCAAAGGCGGTCCCTTACCAGTCATATTTCCCATTTTTGGAAATATGCAAATAACATTTTATGACATTTTCCATTTTTTATGGAAATTATTTTTTTTAAAAAACTGCGATAAATATACACAATTAAGTTAACGACTTTACCCAAATGCAATTCGGAAACGAACAGCAAGTTTCTGATGTAAACTACAAAGAAACAACATAAATACCAACTCCATGTGTCTTGTCAACTGTTTTGGACATCCGGAAAACGTAAATCAGCCGTAGGATGTTGTGGCGGGGCAGTTTCCACTGAACCGGGACAGAACGACAGCAAAACACTGGCGGATCCGCCAAACAGACCCATTCGTCACCGCTCATGGTGAACACGGTAGACCGCTGCCGTCTCTCAACTGTTTGCCTTTTTGTCCACCTCTATTACCTGCCGTTATGTTCTTAAGAAAAACTGTTTCGCCATCCCAGATGCGTTCAAACTGGTCCAGACTAATGCATATTGCCCCAGACTAGCGGAGACTGGGTAGAGTTCGGCCCAGTTTCCCAGACACAGCCTGTTCTGACAACGCGCCGGTATCGTGGGCTCGGGCCGGGGGTCAGTAAAAACCGGCGGTGAGCGAGCCGGGCCGACCCAGACCCGACTCAGAGCGGCTGCCTCCTACCGCCGTGGTGTGAGGGAGCGTTCGGCACGCGGCGAGAGAGCCAGTTCGGCACGCCGAGCATATCTGGGTGATCCGGTTTTTCTCAGAGTACTGACAACGGATCAAGTGGTTGTGCAATCGCAGGTTGGCAAAAACCGACCCATTTTGGGCTGTTCTTTTTATGCCAGGATGATGAAGATGCTAGTTTCAGACCACAGAAAGATGAAACCGTGTTATTATGTGAAGACATGTTGTAATACGATTACGATGGTTAGTGAACAGTTTGGAAATGTTTCACGAAAACTATCCCTGTTGGTAAATACTCTTGAATGTTACTTTTATAGGTAAGCTTCTTCAGTGAATGTTGCTCCCCATGTAGCATTCTGTTGGTAAGAAACAATCTTTGAGTAGGCTACATAAGACGTGAAATGAGATACTTACCACGAGGGAGCATAGGCTAATCAACAGTGATATGAAAGTTCAATGGATTATTTCTTGAGCTCACCTTCGCTTTCAAGTGGTAATAAGCCCATACTTCGTATATTACAAGCGCTCACACAATAAAGCGCTTAATTATTTCCCTATTTAAAAAGAACACTTGAATGCCAGCCGTGTGAATTCATTCTGAGCATATTTTTGTTAGACGGCCCTATTAGTTGTGGTAACTGGCCACGTAGACATAAAGCTGAATAATAGACCTGTAACGATCCGACGCGGATCAGCGCCAACGTAAACTCGGCGAAAATTAGCACCTCGTCACCCCGAGGCTGAGCCCGAACTCGCCTCCACCGCTGCTCGAAATGATTCCGATCTAACATCAGACTGCATACAGCATCTTCACAGCCGCTGGGTCCCTCCATCTCGCTGAAGCGCTTGTTGAATTTCTACATCTACCTGCTGATAGCTTGGTTTATCAGCTCTATTCGACCTCAATCTGATATTTCCCACGTCATAGATGAACTGTTGAGAAAGCTCTGCTTTTCGCCTGTCCTCGTATCCTCTCTATGATTCTCTGTGCCTCTCCACATTTCTCTCTCCCCACATTTCCACTCGCAGCAAGGCTCGATAGTTCATTTTCGGAGAATCCTACAAGTAGGTATCTGGAGATGGGATCAAGTACTATCCTGGACTGGAGAAGAGCAACACTGCGTCTTCATTACAATGATGTGGGAGCCTGTTTTTCTTCTTCTCCCAAAGGCAATGAAATTGTTTCTGGTTAGGTGAACACCGCGCAAAAATCCCTTGAATGCTCTCCCGATGGAGTACGAAAACGAGAGCGTTCGGGCAGGGTTCGTTAGGCTGCCATAAATCTCGGGGAAACGTCAGCTGTTTTGGTCCTAACAGTTCCTCAGCGGCCGAGGCATCATTGATTTGCAATGGGGGCTGGTGGACCTGCCAGCACTCGAGCTAATTGGTATTTATGGCCGGCATGTTATCATCCTCGCTATGGATTTTGTGGAAGAAGCGCGAAATTGGACCGCTGTGTGGAGCTCATCATCCCTGGCGCCCGCCATTCCTTAGCATAAATGATGCATCGTTACCTGCAAACACTAAATATGTGAACGACGCCGATCCATGACCTCGTCGGTCTGTCGGTCTCTACCATGCATAACTTCTTCGTGATATTGAATTGGAGCCTGCAAGGATTCATGGTTCGTTTGCAGCAGCATGATAATGGCTTTGGTGGCACGACCCTGCTGGGAAATCTCGGTCAGTCTGTCCAGTCAGGGTCACCGGAAGCGGTGTCATGAGGCCTCAGACAGCCCAGTGGACAGCTACAATGGCGACCCGAGTCTACCCTGATTGCATTATCATCACCAGGCACGGATATAGTGTGCCACTTGCGCGGATATCGCCCCGCCTTTCATCGTCACATTCGGTGGCTCTCGTGCCAATCAGAGACCGTTTTTGTCGGCGTAATTCCGCAAATAAGAGCGATTGACGATATTTATTCGACCGCACTAACGCGATTTTGTCGCCTCTGCTCATCAGTTTGCCAGTCTGATCACCTTGCTTCCTCATGCTGCCTACAAGACCGCTCCAATGCAGCCCCCATCGCCATATTCTATGCATCTCGCGCCCCGACTCCGAATGCGCCCGGTATTTGTCATTCGACGCCGGTCACAAGAACCGCGCCGTCGCTTTCCCATTTTCCGCCCGGCTGCCGGTGACTGTCCGGTCGTCCGGGGCCCGTCGGGCATCCATTGCCGTCGCCCCCGAAAAACGCGCCGTTTCGACGGACGTCGTGTCGAACGTCAGTCGCCCGCGACAACTGCACGACACGACGGTCAGACCGCGACGGCTGCGACGATCTAACCGCGACGGCTGCGACGGGGTTAAAGATCGACGATACTCAGGGGATCGGCAACGTCACCGATTAACAATTAAAGAAAAAACAGTGTATGTGACAATGTGACATGTGACAATCAATGTCAAAGTGACGACGAATGACGACAAGGCTACAGTTACACCAAGCGGAGGTAACCGATAAAGGATTTCTGACAAGTGACGGCATTGAACGGCTGTGTATGCTATGCATGTCAGGTAGACACCGTCACCTCATGTTGAATTAATCAAGGGCACAGAGGTCAGCATGGTACGGCTGCCGACCGGAATCTATCCTCAAGCGGCGCCGGCCGACGACACGTCGACGGCGACACGACGACACGAAGGGGCGTCGACGGCGACACGACGACACCGGGCGGCGCGTCGTCCCCCGGGACGGCGCGAGCCTTTCACCGCCGTCGGCCGAAGAGCCCCGCGCGGCGCAGTGCGCACTGCGCGGCTACGAGCGGCGCTGTGATGGGCTCGGCCTTGAGGAACCCCGCCAGCTCGCCGGACGGGGTGGCTGTCCCTCGTGGGATTAGCGAGCTGCGCCAAACAAACGAGAGCCGCGGGAGGGTGCGCCGAACGAGACACAGTCCAACGCCGAAGGAGAGTCTAACACTGAGAGAGATATGCTTCGACAATCGACACCGAACGAGATACAGTCCAACACCGACCGAGATACAGTCCAACACCGAAGCAGGTATGTACGGTCCAACACCGGACGAGCGGCGGTGCAACACTGAACAAGACACATCCTTTCCTGGAGCTCTGGCATGAATATTCTCGAATGTTGCATCCATGAGAGGGACCCGACCTTCCTGGGAGCCCAGCAACTTCTGCTCACATTAAGCAATCGTCATTCAGGAGGGCTTCATATTGCATTTCATAATTTACTACGTGACCGGTGTAGATCTTCGGTCAATCCCCTGCGAGTAAAATGAGCCGGAATCCATCTGGAACTCTATCCGGCAGCAGGGGCAATATAGATGATCTTGGTTACTTATCTGGATGTCTATCTATGTCCATTTGGGTGTACCCCTATCGCAATCCCTTCTACGGCGAGAGGAAGAATCCCAGTTCATTGGCCACAGAGCTGTCAGTGGTGCCTCTCCTGAAGATTCCTTCGCTGCGAGCCAGCGGCGAAAGCAGCTCAGAGGGGCTATGACGTAACCTGGCCCACTGATGGCTCCTTCGCCGGCGGCTAATGTGTCTGAATAGCTCTGTCCATCAGCCGTAATACGGTGATCGTTCACGGAGGGCGTAGTATCCTCCCCAAAGCCTATGACGTCATCGGACAGTCGTCAGACGCCCCCGGCAGTATCGCGAGGTTTGTAAACTCTGACTGCGATCAGCTGTCGCCGT